AGATAGCTACGATGCTTAATGCTTGCTATTTTCTCGAATCATCTAAAACGCAAGATGTTATTTGGAATCGATGTATAGGTATGCTACATTTCAATATTATCCATGCAGTGTCTCTAAGAGTATCTTGGTTTGAAATATCCCTAAAAGTCAAAACCGCCCACGGCGTAAACCTTGTGAGAATATGTATCTCTGGGGCTAACTCAAAGACATGCATTGTGGATTGTGGCTTATAGATTATGGTGCGAGTGGCTGGGCTGGACATTGGCATAGAAATAAGGTTATTACATAATAGGTACATACCTCCTAAAGCACCTCTCTTATGTACAATCTATTTCCATAACCCCGCATCTTTTTGTCTTCTTACATCTGAGCAATCATGTTTCTCTCCACATCACATCCACTCTTTGGATTTCGTCGCTGGTTGAACACCCTTTGCGTTTGCCAGAGTTTGTTGGCTGGGACCACGATACTCTGACCCTCTCGTAAACTCGAAATTCTAATATCCTAACGGAGTTAGGTTTCCGGTTTGCGGGAAAAACAGAGGTTTAATTAGCTGTCCTCCAACTGGGCTCTAGGCGAAGGCTCTAGGCGAAGTGATGGACTGTTCAGCTCATCTGGGCCTTCCACGGGTTGATGCGCAGAGAAACGGGTAAGGAAGAGGGCATTTGGTTTGTAATTTTTCCGAGTCTTACTTGGCGCCTTTGCTAATCCTTTGGGGGTTTTTAGGTTTCCAAATTTGCGTCGCTCTCTTTACTTTGCTATTTTGCTATCTTGCTACCCTAACCAACACATATACCGACGTACCACACACGAACCAACCGTCATGTCATATCGACCGACACACCAACCAATACACCGACCAACCGACCAACCGTCCGGTATAATACAGGTCTCATATTACGAGCTAGTCATTCGGGAGATATCGAAATATATTAGAATTGGCGTTACAGGGGGATTCACTCACTAAGTGTCTCGGCCTTTTTCAATTGTCGAGGCCATCGACTAACTCGTATACAGAACTTGTCGGCGAGCGCGAAGCAGATAGCGAGAACACATGCCAAATGGCAATTGAATTCTGACGGGCAATTGAATATTAAGTCATCCCATTATATTTATAATTGGTGTCGCAGAGGAATATCGTTTACACAGTAAAACAGTATCACTTAGCTATGGCAAGCAGTCTAACACAGAAGGCCCTAACTTTAGAACCATTCCCATACGTATGCATTAGATGTACATGCGCGCAAACACTTGTCTGCGAAATTGAGTCGAGATCTTGTTTTACAGTAGATTAAGATAGATTTGGAATCAGTCCTGCCTTATGTGTGATATTACTTCTCCCCGACCGTGGTCTTCTGTCAGATTGACATCCGCGACGGAGGCTATACGTAGAGTAGATGTCAAGATAATTGAACTGGATTGAATTGAATTAAACTGTCAACGCCTGTCTCAACGCCTGTCCTCCTATTCTCGCGAAGGCGCTGTGTACTTTTCAAGTATCTTGTAGATATGCTATTGACTCATTTGATTCATTGTCCTAGTCGCTCGATAGGGTTGTATCGACCTTTGCAGCTTCGTCCAATATCTCTGTCGTTTTTTAGAGAAATATTATCGCCAGCCCTTTTCGGAGGGAGTTGGATTGGTAGGCTTTTAGGCATTGTCTTGTCAAGTCTTTTTGACTCTGTTTTCTAGAAGCCTTCGATTGCGCACCCAGGATAGTAACCCAAACATAAATTGAGTAGATACGCATCTAAGAACTATTGATACCTAATACGTAAAATAGCTTACTGTTAAGAATATCATTAATAGAACTGATGTAAGTACGCGCATGTAGTTCTAAGGTTAGATACCTGACGATGACATTCCCTACAACCCTGACATACCAAAGAAGACTATTTTAATAGATAAAATAATTCGCGGCATCGTGAGATTGAATTCCAGGAGCATTAGACCGGTATTGATGTGAAGTTTTACCACAGGACAAATTGATAATCGATGTTGATGTCCTACGCAGCTGACAAGGGGTTTAGGAACAGAATGCCTCTCTATCAAGATGGATCGCATCAAGGTTTATCAATAGGTACATCCATAGATGGATATCTCAAAACTGCGAGTAATAGCTGGGATACATTTCTCAAGGCTTGATATGACGAATGTAAATTTCGCCAAGATGAGATGTCTTCCCGTGCATCAAAGAGTCGGGATATTTTGATATAATCTTTAAAATATCAAGAGAAGGTGACCTTTTAAGAATGATAGCTTACAGTAGTTAGTCATAGTCACCTAATCAAGTTATGCCACGTACGAATGCTACGAAGCGAGGTTATCATCGTTACGCAAAGGCCAGATGATATTGAAAATATGAACGAACAAAGCATTATATATTTAGAAACAGCGCCTCAGATATAGATACATACATATATATACGTCTGCGATTATTTTCAATTCACAAATACCCTGCTTGAATGCTCGGCGGTCACTTTACCTACGTCTACGTGCCAGTTCTGAATGTCGAAATTAGCCGCAACCAACCTTACGGACATGATTTCTTATATATTACAGTATGAACCTGATATAATAACTCATTCTATTCTATGAGAGATACTTATCAGATACTGAAGTTACCGTAGCTAAGGAGAAGAAATGGATCTATAGGTCTAGCGAGTTGGTTACTATTAGAAATAGAAAGAACTGTGAGGATCCTGGACTTAGGAATCTCGAAAAGTCGGATACGAAATTATTTTAATATTTTATCGGTTCAATCTCGCGAAATTGATCATGTATATAACTTCCAACCCAGCTAAGCTGTCAGTGTACTAGTGGGTAAGGTTGTAAACCTCCTGACATAAGTCCTCTTTAATTTCCAAGTCATAGATTCAAACTTTAGATAGCTCTCGTGTGTTCCCTATTGGCTAAGTCCGAGTGTACTTACATTCAACCTTATATCCCGTAGATGAGAGAAGAGAATAGGGCTCGGGGCAGAGCTTATATTTCGTTAATAATTCGTATTTGGTCTGAGGGCTATTCTGACCTCATATCACAATGTGAGAATGGACGTATGTTCATTTCAGCATTATGAATTCTATTGCCATGTTGTTTAGATTTCTATTCTTAAAGTCCAAGGGTCTTGGCTTCGTTGCCCGCGTAGTGGAAGACGGATCAGTACGTCTATCGGTTACGCTTGCTAATAGGAGAAGGATCTCAACTCCGTACCTATTACTGGGAATCTATATCTAACTTACGAGTAGTTATCTTGAAAAGCTTAGACCGCGCTATTCAATAATTCATCAGAACTGTGGTATGAAGCGCGGCCGTCAATTGCAAGCCAGTTTAAATGAAGTAGAAAAAAAAGGAAACCCCCTCTTCAATGTACACTCTTCAATAGATTTCCGAATAATGGCCGCAAGACAAATCTAAAAGTCCTCGGAGGTCGAGAATCCCTCATTCTAGCTTCGAGAACTTTTAGATTTGTGTTAAAGTCATTTCCCACGAAATCATTGCTGAGTGTACATCAGGCTTTTTTACTTTTACCATAACTCTTTACAGCTGACTCAAACTACAAAGGACTTTCGTAGCATGGGATCTGAGCTTACTGAGATAGTACAGGATACCAGACTTGTAGAGTACCAAACGCATTAGGTTTAGATTCGACTTAAACATTGAGATAGGATCAGTACTTAATGTAGAGCATTCTGGAATCGAGGCATTGGACTTTCCTAAAGACTTGATGACAGTTAGCTTTCGATATCTACTTATACTTGGCTCATCTTTCGGGAGTGAATAATTCCATATTCAGTAACACCGTATAGGGATGATTCATCATACCGATGTTTATGATATCAATATATTCTCGACAATATATTTTCAAGTTGAACAGTCAGGTGAGGCTTCCAAGAAAATGGTAATATTCTGTTTTACTATTAGACCTAAGAAGCATATCTACATTCTATCTAAAGACGTTAGGTCAAGAATCATAGCCGAGATATCTAAAAGAAGGAATATGTTTAGTATGTGTAGTCGTAGGCTTCCGTAGAATGGTTAGAATATCCCGCGGAATAAAAACACTGTTTCCATACTATTTGGTTGCAGAATGGGAATATTCCAAGTTCATATCATCATGATTGAACTAAGAGTATTCCTGAAAGATAAGGTATATGAGCTATAGTTATAAATTGACTTAACCCACCAACTGTATGAGTGAGGAGGGGGGTCCTTCCTATATAGGTATATATTCCATTCCAAGATACCATGTACGGTACTTGAGAGTCCTTTGACCGCTCAGTTCAACACAGCTTAGAGAAGGACGACTAAGCGTCCTGGAATCATATAGATAGAGGCTGCGAAAAGCTTACGAAGTATTTATCCAACCTATCCATCAAGAGAAATGATAATATAGGGGATATTGAAAGATCTATTATCCAAGGTAAACCTACTGTACTCTTTCTAGTTTCTGGAAAAAAGTCTGAATCATTATATACCAATACCTAACTTAAAACACATCTCCATCTCCTATGAGTGGGCGAGGATATTCGACTCTCCTACCAGCTAGTATTGTTTATTAATATTAAATATATCTCGACTATCCTCCTCCTCGCTAGTAATACTAGAAAGGACATCGCAGATAGACATTGGAATTATGATATATAATATTCAGCCTCTCTACTTCTTCTAAGAGGAAGCAAGGAACTATAAATACGAAAAATTGGAGGAGAACGATAAACATATTAACCCATAAACCCCCATAACTTTCTGTATACTTTCACCTTGGCCCCAATTCGTCATACCGAAGAAGGTTAAATAGACCTACCTGTAGAATACATTAGGATAGATCGCTTTATGGTATCAGATACGAGATGAAATTTTATGACCTTGTTCAATACGGATGATGAATATTTATGATACCCTGCCAACGGATTCCTAAGCTATCTACAACGATGGTATTGGTACCTATCTATCATCGTGAACTATTCTTCGTTTCTCAATGTCCTCTCTTACACTTCCTACGCGGTAGGTACGGGATACTGTGTTGAGACGAGAGCCCAAAGGTTTGGCGCCCCAAAGCTGTCGACTATCCTTTGTAAGGTCCCTACCGGAAGGATTGTGAGGTACACCGGTGAGAACTTCTCATTGTATATGAAGCTCTCCTGGTAGATGGCGAAGACTCCACCATTCTCTTGGTCTCCTGTCGCCATATGCGGAGTGAGCTCGCCGAGCGTCGGTTCCAGTTCTAAGCGGACAGGCTGCAATGAGATCATATCATAAGGCGATGCTGTAGTGAAGGATGTGGAGAACCACTTTTTGAAGAAAACCATTTGGAACAAATACGTCAGCGCGAGTATGTGAAATACGTCACGTATTTCATCCTGGTTAAGCATCGTCTCCTCGATGAGGTTTTTAGAAGGCTCTATGCCGAATAATGTTTCTAATCCGCGAATATAGATTTGAACCTTTAGTAAAACTGCTGCTTTAACTCGCATAGACCCTTTTCCTCTCTCGATAATGGTTTTACCACCAAATAGTGCGTGTCCGACGGAGTTCTCAACGTTCATCTTATCCAAGATACCAAGTTCGCACCATAGCTGACCGTAGTGTGAGTTCTGCTTCCCGATTCCGGCGCAGTCTTCTGTTATGACATCAAAGGCCAACCCATCATCCTCCTTGAGACTCTGCGCAGCCTCTTCTGTGAAAGTGTACAAATTGTTATCATTTCTATAGATTGATAACGCTACCATCCGAATAAGTACTCTTTTTGAGGGGATCGAAAGCGTAGTGTCGTTCTCGATCCGGGCGAGAAGGTAAGCGACGTGGAAGTTTCCTAAGCCATTAAATGTCTTGTGCTTAATATAATAAAGTGTTCTAATACCCAGAGGAGTGATCTGAGATGTAGGAGCGTCGTCAGCTAAGCATCCCAATATGACAAGCCGACGACGAACCTCCCTTAGAACAGATAAGCTTCCATTCAGCGCTGGTACCGGTACCTCGGGATATGCGAGACATTTGAATATTTTGCTGACCGCGAGGAGAAGATGTGCGGAATCGCTTTCGATATGCGTATCGTCTTTTGACTTGTTGTTTTGTAACCATTCGTCATCCCATGAGGTGTAAAATGTAGGACGCTCGCTATCCGCCCTATCACCTTTACCGACCCAGGCTTTCTGGCGAAAGATATCGCCTTCTGATATAGGGATAGCTGCAATAGGAAATTGGCTGGTAGAAGGGTCGAATATCCTCGTCCGCTTATGGTCGATGGAGATGACGCATCTCAAGTTAGGTATTGATACGTAGCTGCTTAGATTTTCTTCGAGAAAGATGACTGTAGGCTCGCTCTGGATGATGGATCTTGTGATATTCTCCATATTGCTATCTCTCCCGATGGATAGGCAACGTATATTACGGCCTGTGATATTATTGATAGGTTTGATGAATATATCGTAGGCTTCCGCGATTGGGGTGCAGATGACCACGTAAGGTGCTAAACCACACTGCGGAGATTCGAATAGAGATAAGCGAATAACCTCTATGACTTTGTCTGTATCCTCGAGGGTCTCCTGCTTGTATTTCCTTTCTTCCTCCCATACGAGATGGAAAGGATGAATATCGTAGAAATGTAATATATTTCCGATGTCCTCTCTAATTTTACCGCCGAGGAGGACGACGGTAAGGTTAACTTCTTGTAGTTTCTTTAGGCCGCGAATCCAATCTACGACAATACCTATACTCAATTCTCCGTCCACTGTCGGGATATGCTCGACGTCGATAAATAGTATCATGTCCTGGTGGCGTAGCAAGGTTGACGGATCAGCCGTATCCTCCATGAGCGTATTGAAACTCTCGTACGAGATGAGACCTAGTTTTCTCGCATTTTCAATGCTGGGAATCCCGTTGGTGATATCAGTATCTTCGCGGTATCTGATATTATAGCTTGTTACTTTGATTTCCTCTTGGTCGAATAAGATGTATAGGCCTTGCGCATCGGCTCGAGTAGCCTTGACGTGATTCCAAAGATCAGGAACAAGTCTAGTACTTTTACCGACTGATTCTGCCGTAACGTAGGCAACTCTGATGGATTCGGAAGTGGAAGATGATAGGTCCTGAAGAGTAGGTAGGATATGGCTTTGATAGTTTGACATCTTGGAAGTGTGGTCGATGAAAGTAGAATGTAGAGAGAAGAGAATCGGAAATTTGTAATGTTTTGTGGTATATGTATGTGTGAGAAATAGAGAATTGTAAAGTTGTCAGATGGCAAACAGAACGAAGATGTAGGTCGTGCTGGCGGGGTGGAATACAGCTGCTGGGTAACCCAGGTAGACTTGTCTGTTGTGTACCTGAATACTAAGTATATCTTCGTACCTTTCATTTTAACAACGCCTATGAACTGCCTACTTTGACATACCTATCCGTTTAGAGAGCACCGCCGACTCATCGGTAGAGTTAGACACTACCTAAGACCAACTTATGGCGTCGATCACAATTACATCAGGAAACATGCACAAGGTTAACTTTGGTAAGTAGATACTTTATTAATTACCTAGGTATCTATCTCCCTCTTGATACTGGGCTAAGTAGGGCTACGTTTTGCTATATTTACTTTGTTTCCGACTGCTTGATACCACAACAGAGGATGTTATAATTTACCTGTACTAGCGGTCTTCGGATTAGTAGACAGCTTTGATGATGTTTGCAGGACCCTTCAACGGCCCTGCTCCTATCGTCACGTACGCCGTACTGACACACGTAGTCGAAGCAGTACCAACCCTCTACTTGGACCTCTGATAACATTTGGCTCAAATAATAGGCGATAACTTCTTATTTGTATACCTACCATATCGGCAAAATGTGGTTTTGAGATATAATATTTAAGAGGTAGAATAATATTTTCTACAATTACCATTTATTTTATAATAATTATTCTTTTTTTTAAAATAGCGCATTAATCCGTCGGAGACATTTTTTACGCTCAAACTTTTGGAAATTATTATGGGAAACTGATAAGTAATTGATAAGTAATTGATAAGTAATTGATAAATAATTGATAAATAAATGTTCAATAAATGATAAGAAATTGATAAAAGTTTCCGACGGATTCTACCGTGCGAGCCTGCGAGCACGTGAAAACGCTTGCGCGAGCTTGCGAGTGCATGCGTTTTCCTAAATTTTAAATTTATATAAGGAAATATAATGTAAAAAATTATTTTTTATAAAGTAATTATTTTTTATTTCGAAATTATTTTCTAATTTATATAACCTATATAATTTATTGCAATTTATTATTTATGTAATTTTTATATTATATATAAATTACGTAGTATGTTTTATAAATTATTTTTAATTATATAATATATATTTTTAATAAAATATAATAGATTATATTGCAAATTTAAATAATATTTGAATGTTTTTTATTTAATTATGGCTTTAATTTAAATATAAAAACTATTGTAAATTCCATTACGTTTTATTACTTACTTATTTTTACGTAGTTATATCTTAATAAAAGGGCAAAAAATAGTCTTATATATATCTTTAACAATTTTATCGAAATTGTTATTATTATTTTGGTTTTCTATAATTGGCAAATATTAAGTAAATTTGTTTTTAGTATATTTTTCTATTACCGGTATATATATTTTTTCGTTTATTTTTAAGTATGCGTATAATTTTTTTAATTGTAAATTTTAAGCTTATATAACTTAAATTAAATGTTTTATTATAATGGGGGTAATAGATTTGCTAGTAAAATGTAAGCTAACGTAATTAAGTTTTATTATAACTTTATAAATATTAAACATTTTTTCGTTTTTAAGCCAGAATTAGTAAAGGTTAAATTTGCCAAAAATAAAACCGGCGGTATTGGTTATATTATTAATTAAATCGAGGTTAATATATTGGTATATGTTTATTATATTTTTTATTAATAACTTTAATATAATTAATATAAATATATGTAATATAATAGATAAATAATATATATTATATATTTCTTTTAATAAAAGCTTTAATAAATTTTAATTTATTAAATTTAATATTAATAATTATAATTGTTATAAAAAGTTGGAAAATGATTTGTTGGTATATTGTTTTAATATAACGTATATTAGTAATAATTAATTAAACGTTAAAAGTAAATAAATCTATTTTTAATATAAAGTAATAAAAATAGGTTTAATTTCAAATAGAAAATTAATTAAAATTAATTAAAATATAAATTTACTTCCAAAAGTTTATAGTTGTAAAAGGAAATCTTTAAATAAAGGTAAAAATTATTATTAATTTTTATTTATAATTACAATAAATGTTATATATATTAAACCTTTTATAAAAAAAAAAAAAAATTATTTATTGCTTTTGTTTTATGTAATTTTTTTATATAAAATATTTATTTTATTTTCTTATTTTAAATTTTTATTTTAAATTTAAACCTTTAATTTTTAGTTTAAATCTATTTAACATTTTACCATATACTTAATTTTTAAAATTATTAACAATTAATAATTATAATTTATAATATTTCAAATTTAAACGCCAATAATTTTAATAATTTTAAAATTATTAATAATTAATAAATAGTAAATTTAATTTAATAATATTTTAAACGTTAAAATTTTATTAATTTTAAAATTTTTAATATAATTAATAATAAAATAAGATTATATTATATAATTTTTATAAATTATACATAAATAAAAATTGTTTACGTAATAATAAACCTAATAATATTATACGTATTTAATATTATAAATATAAAAAAGTTTATTAATATAAAAATATTATAATTATAAATAAAATAATAAATATATAATATAAATAAAATAAAATATAAAAGAGGTAAAATTATAAAAAATATAGGAAGTTAGTAGATATAAAGGGTAGGTAGGGTAAGAAATTGGTAGGTTACGAAAAATAAAGTAAAAAATAAGAAAAATATAAGAAACCAATAAAAAAAAAAAGTAAAGTAGAAAATTTTAATAAATAAAGGAAAAAATAGAAAAGAAAAAAGGGTATAGGAAAAAGAAAAGGTTAAAGAAAAGGGGATAAAGATAAGGTATAAAAAGAAAAAAAGGTTGGGAAGGAAAAAAAAAAAAGTTAAAAAAATAAAAAACTTAATAAAAAATAATTTTAATTATTTAAAAATAAAAATAATAAAATTTTATAAAAGGTAAAATATTAATATAAAATAAAATATTATTTCTATTTAAATAACCTTATTATTTTAATTATATAATATAATAAAAAAAATATATTAAATAACCTTTATAAAATATTTATTTTAATAATAATAAATTTAATATAAGTTAACTTTTTATAAATATTATATAATAAGATTTTTAAAATTATTTATAATTATATTAGTATTTTTCTTTTTTTTATTATAATATTTATTATTAATATTTTTATAATTTTTAATATTATTTTATTTTTTTATTAATGAATTAACCTAACTATTAGTCTTTTAGCTTTTTACATAGAAAGCATTTAAATTTGGTGAGGGTTTTGCCCCATTTTAAAAATGCCGGGGGTAGAAAGCGTTTACGACTATTTTAAATACTTTCTACCCATATATCAGATTCAATTTAGACCTAAAATATATTGAAATAAAGCCCTCGAAAAGACGATTCTAACAGTATACTCGGATTCCTTATACGACTTAAATTGAAAGGTGCATCGATGAAAATACAAAAGAGGTTTTTTGGTGGTTTTCATTTTGATGGGGTCGCACGTACCATCAACCCGTACACCACAACCGTTAGATTAGACCAAATCCGGACTAATGCATAATTTTAGTCATTTTTCAACGAACCAGGATGTAAAATTGAAAAAAATAAATATCAAAAAATAAAAAAGAAAAAAATCGAAACATATAAAAATATAAAAAAAAAAAAAAAAAAAAATTTAATGTCAT